CAGTGAAGTCATGTGTTGATGGAAGCCCCTAGAGGTGTTTTTGATGTCGCCCTCATGAAGTCTCTGAACCATATAGAAGCAGTGATTTGACATTAGCGTTGAAAAGCCGAATCCGACTGAGTGTAACATATTCCCACACTAATTTCTGTTTAATGAATATCTATCTTACTTTTCCGATCTTCATTTGTGCCACGTGCAGTTGAAATGGCTCTAGCCAAATAAGTGAATGAAGTGGCCTCTTTCAAATTTTTCCCGTTGATAGTGATTGGTGCTCACTGCTGTTGTTGGCTGATTGTCTTCATTACCTCTATTTTCTCTGTCTTCACTTGAAGTCCTGTTTTCGCCGCTTGACTCTTCCTCAACTAATTGGTTTTCGCCTGTAGATGTTCGGGTCTGTGTGACATCAGGCGTAAACCGCCCACAAAATCCACATCTTCTGGAGTCTTCTTGTCGGTCCATCACATTCATGTCTTCTCGCTCCCCACGCACAATATGTCACATAATCCAGTCCACCACAAATGGGAATATCATCGGTGATAGTCTGCTTCGTGTGCTCTTGGAAGTGTGTGGGCGGTTGTTACTTCCCGGCTGCCACACCGTGGAAGTTGTTTGATTCTTCGGGTACCTGAAACAGAGAGGATTAGTGTTGCGTGACTGCAGAGCCCAGGGGACAACTGCTTGAGGCCGGTCACACACGGCCTGTATGAACTGGTTTCTTGGTTTGGTTCCGTATTAGTAAACTTACTGCCGGTTACGGACCACCGTAGGGTAAGTCGGGATGTACAATTTTTGGGGTCGACCTTTTCTAACCCCCTCTCTCCGGAGTGGAGATACAGCATAGCTGGCTGGCATGCTGGTCATCTGAAACACCTCACTGCTGTTAAATCCCTCTTCCCCAGCAGTACGACTTCGCCCACAGATCCCCAGCATAGTGTAAAAAATTCTTACACTGTGCCGGTAACTGCTTTTAGTCTAATCGTTATCCTAACAATCTTCCTGGCATAGTAGGACCTGCAGGAACATTGGTTCCAGCCAGAGTAGCTTGTTGGGTCATTACGATGTGCAAGCCTGACCACCACGTCAAGGTAGCAGCTATCGGTCAGGATCGGTGATAGTAGTCAGCTTTGTCTTACTTCAGTCTTCACTTCAAAGGCTTCTTCGCTAATTTTTCCATGCGTGTCATTTGACATGTGACATTGTCATTTAGTTGTCAGATGAGCTTGACAAGGATTTGGGCACACCATAGTGTTGATTAGGCCATATAGGGGAGTGCATTTTTCCAGTATGTCTCCCAGATAGCAGGGATAGATGTAGTTCAAGACCAATTTTACTGATCCTTGTTAATTCATCTTTAATTTATATCTAAGTTGAAAAAATTGTATTCCTTCCGTTCTGAGTGAAATAGAAAGCTCCAGGCCTCTGAATTTCCAGTGGCAGTGGTGTTATTTTTTACGTGATGTAGTTGTTAGCTTCATGCACAGCCCCTTCCCTTTCCCCCGGGGTTAATATCAGCTGGAAAACTAGGCGAGGCTTTGGCTTGCGTTAACTGGCACTGGAACCTGGATCTCCCTTGTAGCTGGTGAATATTCTACCATTGATCCGTTGATTCTCTTTAAGTGGATTAGGTGTTTGTAATGTTTCATAAATTGAAGTTAGACCTAGAGTGTTAGGTAAGGGAGGGGTGGGGTAAGTCAATCGATGAGGTTGTGAAGGTGAATCGATTAAGATATTCTAGGACGCACATGTAGCGTATCTCAAACCATCTCCTTCCTCGACGGGGTCATGTTAGTCGACAAGGGATTAGGTCACAAAAAGAGTTAGGGTTGGTCAAACTAAAGCCTGGAATCAGTTCATTGAGGTCTTTGACAGTTGCTTCGAGCCATGTAGGGAGGTGTAGACTGCCTTATTGTGGTCCTGGGGAGGCTAAGAACCAATGGGTGGAGACTATTGATGGTATGTGACTCAAAATCGTTCTCAGTGGTCGAGATGTTTTCACTCCTTGTGATCTTCCATATCCACTAGACCGTCATCTTTTTCTACATTACTTTTCTTTCTATCTCACAGTTGTTAGTTGCACTACTCACATTGTGAAATAATTCCCAAAAATCAGAAGACGGTAGTAATTGAATTTAATTAATGGTGTCCCATTTCTGATCGATTATACAGGGACTACCACAAAACAAGTTCCTACATACTCCACAGTCTCTTAGAAGAAGTATATTGATTTAATCAAATATACCTTTCTGAGTTCTAAACCTTCATTACTTCTGAACATCGTAACAACATATTGAGTTCGGTATACACAAAAGATATAATTTAATCTCTTTAACTGATATCAGTTAGTATTCCGCATCAAGTGGCTTATCGTCGTGTCAACTCCTGCATTCATCCTCTACATTGTTCAGTCAGTAGTTTAGTTATGCTTGAAGAATTCTTTAGTTATATGCATACCTTCTTAGTGTTATCTATCTTCAGAGGTTATCACTGAAAAGTCAATTTTAGAATAAACCTATAATAGAAATTCAGATATCCTTCCAGTTCTATTAGCTTAGGTACTGGTTAATATTATTTGAATCTTACTTTGTATGTTATGTCAGATTTTTGTTTTTCTCCCCCTTAAGTAATGAAATTGATCACACCTTTTAACCAAGTTATTCCATATTTCGAAGTTGACAGCAAACTGACTTCAGTTAGAAAGAACCACTGAAAATCAGGGAGTACTGAACGATGAGGGATGCTCACTAGCCACTTGCCCTATTCAGTTAGGTAGTTACCTGGGCTTCTAGTGAGAAGTCGTGACCAGTAGGGTGCAGCAGGTTGGGTGTGAGAACAAATACTCGCCGAAGACATTGACTAGCGGTTGCGCTACATCGTGAATTGGCAGAAGTTAGAATTCATGGACTGGCCATTGGATCGGATCCCAGTGGCTTAATGGTCTACGAGCTCGCTAGCCTTGTAACCAGAAGGACCTGGGTTCGAACCCCGGTGGGTGGGTGCGTACTGATGAAGAGTCCCAAACTAGGACGGGGGAAACAGCTGTCCAGTACTCTCAGCTGGTTTTCCAATGGTTCTCTAACCAATGTCAGCTCATGATGAAATACTGAACAATTGTTTCGTCCTAGCTTGAGACTCTTCATCAGTACGCACCCAGGACCTACATGTTACAGTGAGAGAACATTGATCACTCAGCCACTGAGAAGACGGAATCCAATGAATCATCAATTCTAAATTAGCTAGTGGTTGCACGATAATATCACGAACGGGCGGATGTTAGAATTGATAGACCATTGGATTCCCCCCCCCCCCCAGTGAATGAATGGTCAACGCAGTCACCTTGTAAGCTGAAGGTTCTGAATCCGATCTCTGGTAGTCATGGGCGCGTAGGGCTAAAGAGTCCCAAAAGAGTAGGAAAGAGATGTCTAGTACTCCCTCATTCTCCACCGTTCCCTTAATGAAGTCAGTCTGTGATCAATCGAATCTTTACGAACCAAGATTTGAAAATCATTCCATATTGTTAAGCGAATTGCATTTATAGTCAGTTTTGAAGGAGCATGATATACATAATAATAATGAGAAAAAAACGACATGTGATTATTTTTACACTCCCATGTAATGTGCTTTAAAGACTGAATTTTGAAACTGTCTTTTGCATCTGTCTTCAGATTCTTGAATTTTTGAGTACAGAAAGTACGGTCCACAGTGTCATTTTTCATAACAACTTTAATGAATTCAGTCAATATTTCTTTGAATTTTTCCTATTACTGTTTTCCACCATGGAGCTACAATTCCTGTCTGATAAATGTAATGCTTAAGTTATCAGATTTGTAGTGTAGTATGTTCAAAGCAGGTGTTCCGCGTTATTGACACGAACCGACATTAGTCAGGTAGACTATTGAAAACCACCAGGAAGCACTGGACGGCTGTTTCGTCCTTGTTTTGGACTCTGCAACAGTGCGCACCCATAATCCCACCAAGCATAGAATCGAAAACCTTCAGGCTACAAGGAGAGCTCGTTGACCATTCAGCCATTGTGAATTCTAACTTCTGTCAACTAATACCTTCAATGAGCATCCACTTCTCCAAGAAATGATGGACTTCACTGGTCATGACTTCCCACTACAGTTTCAAGAAATCCATCCAGTAGTAGCCATCAGTGAAGCCAGCGATTGATATACAGAGTTGACAGAGTTAGAATTCATGGGTTATTGAATCGCAGCCCAAGTGGTTGAATGATCAACGAGCTTGGTCTCGTAATCTGAAGGTCCTGAGTTCTACCCTTGGTGGTCGGGGTGGTGGGTTCGTGCCGATGAAGAGTCCTGAAGTGGGACGAAACAGCTGACTGTCTAGTATTCCTTGGTGGTTTTCAGTGATCTCTCTTACCTGATGTTAGTTCGTGACGAAAACCTAACAGTTTAAATTAATTCAAAATCCCCACAAATCCCTATGGATGTGTGTGTGTGTGTGTGATTTATTGGCTAAAGCAGTCGATTTTCAACCAATGGATCTTGGATTCGAATCCCACTCTGCCTACTTCAACCTGGGCAACTAACTGAGTAGTATCATCAACCCTCGTGCGTCGGTGCCACAGCGGTTAGGACGCTCACCGACCATGCACATGGTCCGGGGCTCGATCCCCGTACCGACGCACTCCTCTACCTCGCTAAGCCAGTAGTAAGGCTGCTAAAGGGGGAAGGTTTGGCATGATGCTAGCAACCCCATCCTGTAAAGATAAACACTACTACAGAAACTTCAAGCCTCTAGCTTGAAGCCCTATGTTCTAGTGGGAACGTGATGGAATAATGCAAATGTAATGTGTGTATCATCAACCCTCAAACAATAATTGTGTGACTCATAGCCTGGTCTGGGCAAATGTGTTCTAACACAACTATGTATTTATTTTATATCACAGGTAAAATGAGTCTTTTTGTCTATCAAATATAAAAATATGAGTGTTTCAGTTTTTCAATACTGTTTTGTTTGTGTTTGTTTATCCTCTTCAGGTTATATTGGTGTAGTGAATCGTAGTCAACGTGATATTGAAGGTCGTAAAGATATTAAAGCAGCTTTAGCAGCTGAAAGAAAATTTTTCTTAAGTCATCCAGCCTACCGACATATGGCTGATCGAATGGGTACACCATTCTTACAATCCACCCTGAATCAACAATTAACTAATCATATCCGGGATACACTGCCGGGTTTAAGGAATAAACTTCAATCACAAATGTTAGCTATGGAGAAAGAAGTTGAAGAATATAAGCATTATAAGCCTAGTGATCCATCGTTTAAAACAAAAGCTTTATTATTGTAAGTTTTAATTGTTGTATTCGTGTGTTTGTGTGTGTGTGTAGTTTTTCCTGTCTGTATCGTATGTTTTCCATTTTCTATGCTATGTTGTGGCGGCTATTCACTAGCCTACTGACGAATAGATCATTCGTGTCTCTTATGTATGGCTGTAAGGTATAGCCATAGAAAGTGGAAGAACATTGGAAGAAGAGCCTACATCTGATTCTTTGAACATGTACCAAGGAGCTTCTGGTTTAAGGGGCCAAACAGTTTAAGCTTTTCAATCACCAAATACCTGATAGACACAGGACACCGAGTAGATGCACTGGCATCATTCAAGATAATTAACAGCCAAAAAGGAAACTGAAGGCTTCCTTCCTCGGTTTGCTGAAGCTACTGCAATAAAACAGTGGGAATCTGACCTATATGTCCGAGAGGAATCTGTCGTTGGACTTCAATTACCCTGCTGACTCATGTTGGTGACCATAACACGTTGAAAGCACCGGTTCTCGTCCGATCACCGAAGTTAAGCAACGTTTGGCCCGGGAATACCGGGTCTTGCCGGCTTTTTGTGCGTCGGTGGCACAGCGGTTAGGACGCTCGCCGACCATGCACATGGTCCGGAGTTCGATTCCCGGCCGATGCACACCTGATATCAATGGTCGGCCTGCTAAATTTGGGCTACCGATATCACATGCTGAAAATTCCATACTTGTATCAAAAATACTGTGTGGAGTCAAGCTATAATAAAATAAGATTTAAGAATAAAATAAATAATAACTCTTAGTTTTCTAGCTTCATTAACTTATATTTTGAACGCCCCCCTCTCCTTGTTTCTTCTGTTTGACTTCCATAAGAGATAGTTTTTCTTGACCTTATGAGTTCTACTCACCATATTACATCATCACCTTTTCATCTGACCTTTTGCATACCAAGTTTCAATCTTCTCTTATCTAACTATGTAACTGTTATCAATTTTTTCTTACAACCCTAACGACAAACTTACTAATTAATTTTCTAGAAACTTCACATTTCAGCCACCTTGTCGTCCTGATGTTTTACCTCACCATGACTAGACGCATAACACTAGTTACTAGTGTCCAATCAAAGTATCCACTACAGTCCTACAGGAGGTCAATCCGAGCCCGAATAGCTCAGTGGTAACGTCTCTGACTGCAGCACTGGGTGACGTGGGTTCGAATCTCAGAAGGGACATGAGTTCCTTCAAGGTTGCAGATACGCCTTGCTGACTGGAGTGCCAACTAGCACGAAACCTAGGTCCAAGGCTTCCTACCGATTGCCTCCAATCATCTAATATCATCAAACTCTTATAATATGCTTGTTGATGACAAAAGTATGTTAAATATTACACTGACTTTTATTTATTAAAGATTATAGGTTATGTGCAGCTGATGAGAACCAACGAAATAAAATTGATCCATGTTATTCTGCACCTATGTTTGTTCTTTCTTTGCTCAGATATGAAAAGGTCAGCTGTCTTTGACCACAAATGTTTGCGTTTTATCTCCTGTGTCGAGTGGTGAACAGTATTGAGATAAGGCCGTGTTAGGTAAGGAGGGTAGTAGATCGATTAATGAGGTTGTGAAGTTGTATCAATTCAGATGTCTGCGACATGTGTTGCACACACTTCTAGCCACCGCCTTTCTCGATGAGTGTGATGCTAGCTGACATAGGATTGGGTTGGAAAAGAGTTAGCGGTGGTCAAACCAAAGCTTGTCGTCAGTCCATGAAAACCTTGACATTTAGTATGAGCCACGTTGGGGAGGGGTTAGGCTGTCTGGTTGTGGTTTTCAGGATTCTAAGAGCCAATGGTGGTGATGCGACTCAGAATTGTTCTCAATGAGTCAAAGGGATTCACATTTCTGTTTATTATAGTTGTTTTGAATCTTTCCTCTCTCTCTTTTGTCTGCCTTTGTGTTGTACATGGAGTGTGGCGACTTGAACTACTACACTATTGTGCGAAGTTTTATGTTGAAACTCGGTGGAAAAAAATCACAGATGTAGTCGGTCAGTCAGCCGGTCATTTTGAAGATCAAATGACCAGAAACCATTAGCAACAAGAAACTCTGACTGGGAAGAACCAAGAACCTTTTCGCTCAACAAATATGTAGGAGAAAATGGAGATGGATTGGACACAGGCTGAAGACACCATCGAATGACATCGCACGCCGGGCCCTCGGATGAAACCAAAGTGGGGAATGACAAGTGGGACGTCTAAGGGTGAGGAGGAGGAGATGAGAGACAATGAGCAATCTTAGAGCCAGCTGAAAAGGACCACAGAAAATAGGACAAAGTGAAGACATGCTGTTGAGGTCTTACTTTCCACTGGGAACCTAAGGTACAATATATAATGTAATAATAATAGTCGGTCAGCTAGATTAATAAGCAAAAAACCATGATATGATATGCTAAAGTAAGTGTGTGTGGAGAATTGGCTCATTGGCCTAGACACTCGACTTTCAGTTAATGAGTCTCGGACTCGAGTCCCTCTTCACATAGTTTAGCTTGGGTGGTATCATTAGCCCTACAAAATTAGTGCGGCTTATAGCCCCAGTGAACTGGATAACTGAGATCTAACAAACCAACTAAAGTAAATATGGGTGTTAAACCGGAAGTCAAAGACTTTGTGAATTGATGTAGTTTTTGACCACCAGTTTGAACCACTTTGGAAGGTATAGACTGTCTGGTTGGGGTCTTTGAGGTTCTAAGAGCCAATGACTAGAGACTTTTTTGTCATGGTCGGAAATGGTTGTTAATAGTGTAGTGTAAACGCATTCACTCTCTACAAACTCCCAGAATCATTCAATTCTCATTATTCTCCATAGAATTATTCTGTCTCTAGCACACTTCTATTTATTATAGTTTTCTGAATTTCCTTTTCTCTCTACCTTGCGCAAAGTTCTACGTTGAAAACTCAATCAATCAGTCAGTCGTGTAAAATGTATTTACTAAGTTTCTTTATGTTATATTCCCATTTAGATTATGGCATATATGTGGGGATTCGCATTGATTTAAATTATTTACATCCACTTTCTTCTGACATGGCGAACTGCACTGATCACGACTTCACACTACAACTTCAAGACATCCATCCAGTAGGCATCAATACGCTGGAGATTGATATTCAGATTATATAGGTCATCAAAGGCACTGATGAGAGTAGCACATTATATCACAAATTACAAAGTTAGGATTCATAGGTCACTGAATCCCGTCTTAAATGGTTGAATGGTCAATTTCGTGCTTGCTCTCGTAACTTGAAGGTTCCTGGTTCGAACCCCTGTGGGTCGTGGGGATGCTTTGCTGAAGAGTCCCTTAATGGGACGACGAAACAGCTAGTTATCCAGTGCTCCCTGATTGTTTTCAACGTCCTCTTTAACTGATGTTGGTTCGTGACGAAATGTAGCAACTTAATTCACACTGGTTGTTTGTTTTCAAAAGACTGAAGACTTTTCTTTCATGAGCCACTGTCAACTTTTGGTATGCTTAATTGTAACAGTTTATAGGATGGAAGATAACTTTCTAGTCACCTCTATTTTTTTTTCTTGAAAAGTGTTTTTTTCTTCTTTCTAACGGAAATGTTTTTTGTAACTGCCGGCATTGTAGCCTTCCCGTTATGTTTCACAACAGAAAAAGGTGTCAATGTGTTTTTGCATCATGTTAGTGTTGGGTAGAGGTAGCAGTTGATTAGTGTACAGTTTTCTGTGAATTTTTGATGTGAAAATACGATTCCATCGAATGCCGCAAAACTTTTGTAATAAAACTAATGACAAAAGAAAGAATAATATATTAAGTTTTTGCGAGACTTTATTTATCTGTTTCCAACATTTTAGATAATTAAATTGAATTTTCCCTTGGGAGAATCGTAAACTATTGAGTTGTAGAAAAAAAAATAAAGTAAGGAAATGACTTCAAATTTGATCACGAGATGACATCAGTAAGAGGATCACTGAAAACTAGGCAGTTGTTGCACAGCCGTTTCGTCCTGGTCCGAGACTCTTCATCAGTACGCACCTAGGACCTTGTGGTTACAAGTCGAGTTCGTTGACTATTCCGCCACTGCGACGGAATCCAATGGCGTGCGTTTGGGCTATGTATTGCGAATCAGCAGAAGCTAGGATTCATATGCCATCAGATTCCTTGCAAGTGGCCGAATGGTCAACGAGCACACCATATAAGCTGAAGGTCTTGGGTTCAACCTATGGTTGTGCGGGGTTGTGAGTGTCTAGTTCTGAAGACTCCCAAACAAGGAGGAAACAGCTCTCGTATTTTTCAGGACATGTGTTACACATGCATCCCTAGCCATCACCTTCCTCGACGGGCAATGTTAGCTGACATAGGGTCAGGTTGGAAAAGAGCCAGTGGTGGTCAAACCAAAACATGGCTTCATCAGTCAATCAAATCCACAACAGTTAGTTTAAGCCATCCATATAGGAAGGTGTAGGTCCTTGGGATGGTAAGAACCAATGACGGCTGGAGACAATCGGTGATATGGCTCAAAATCGTTCTCAATGGCTGGCGCAGATGCATCCACCCCCTTGTGACTTATAATACCTAATAAAACTTTATGGTTCTTCCATATATCTATTCTTTTTCCCTCACACTCCTGTTTATGATCTGTCTTTTGAGCCTCCCTTTAATCTCTTCTATTTCTTTGTGTGCTACATGGAGTGTGGCGACTCGAACTGTTGCACATTGGTGCAAAGTTCTATGTTGAAACCAGTCAGTTAGTCCGTAGTTTTCAGTGATTTTATAACTGATGTCAGTTCGATACCTAGCCTGAAACCAAATAACTCCCTGTGCACGAATATTCGCAAAAAAAGTCTTCAGAAGTTGGCTGGTGGTGCAGATTGATAGTTTGTTAGAATCCGTGGCTGAAGACCGCTGGTGACATGACTGAAAATAGTTTTCAATGGCACAGATGCACTATTCCTGTAAATATTGATTATTCTTTATGAAATTATTATACCTTCAGCAGACTTCTGTTTATTTCAGGTTTCGTTTTTGCATTTTCTTTATTTCTCTCTCTCTCTCCTCTCTACTTTTATGTGTGCATAATGAAGTGTGGCAACTTGGGCGAAGTTTTGCCTTGAAAAATTAGTTCAGTTTACCCTTAAGAGAGATATCAGTGAATGCTATTGATATCGTGAAGTCTGTCAGATTGATACTTGTCATTATCTTCATGTAGAGACTGTTAGTTTGAATTTAACTGTAAACCAAAGTTCCCTTATTATTATTATTCCGAGTAGAACATAGGGCTTCAGCAGGAAATCTTCATTTCACCCTGTTTTCTGCAGTCATCTGTAGCTCGTCGTTTCCAATTAGGGTACATCTTGAGGGCTTGCCATATGATGTCACTCAATGGTTTCCCCAGGGTATCTTCAATCGATTTCGATTCCCTTCTGCGTATTCGTCAGGCGTTAGGATCTTGGTTGGTTCTCTGTTTGCCAAGGGTCCCTTGTTGCTAGTCTTTTCTGGCCATTTGATCTTCAGTATCGAACCAGTAAATGGGGGCAGCTATTGATAAACGTCTGCAACAGTCTGTTGGAAAACGCTTGTGATGACGTTCCAAGTCTCTGAACAATATGGAAGCATTGATTGGTTTCACATTAGTGTTGAACATCCATACCTTGTTCCTCATGCTTAGTGCAGCAGATTTATATATTCATTAGCTATTTTATAGCTTAAAGAGTTCAGCTTATAATCATTCAATTGTGGACATGTGGGTTCATTGGCCTTAACATTAAACTTTCAGGAAATCAACTGACTATGAATAAACTACGTATTGTTTGGTGTTTTCTTGGTTGCAGAATGATACATATAAAAATTTCCAGGCATTTGATTTGGCGGAATTTAGAGTGGATTCCATCCCAGTGGTTGTAAATGGTCAACGAGCTTGACCTGTAGCTTCCAGGTCCTGGTTTTGGTTCCCGGTGGGGTTATGGGTGTTCACTACTGAGGAGTCGCAGACCAGAACGAAACAACTGTCCAGTACTACTTGGTTTTCAATAGTTCTCTAACTAATGTCAGCCCGTAATTGAACCTGTAACCAATTAAATTCCCGCAAACTAATAATTAAAAGTTTAGTGCTTACTAATGACTAACTACAGGATGATGAAGTTGCATGAAGTTTTGGTAGGAAGTTGTGACCAGCGGGGTCAACCAAGGACCGATACTCAGCGATGACTTTACCTGGCGGTTGTACTATATGTCGTGAATTAGTTAGAAGTTAGAATTGATGTGTCACTGGTGGATTCCGTCCCAGTTTCTGGTTTGGTCAATGAGCCTGGCTTGTAACTTGTACGTCCACAGTTCGATCCCTGGTGGGGTCGTTGATGTGGGTGTCACTGAAGAGCCCCAAATTAGGAAGAAACAACTGCCTAGTACTCCTTGATGATTTTCAGTGGTTCTCTAACTGAAATCAGTTCGTGATCAGACTTGATTTTTTAAATTTTTGTTCCAACTTATTTGCTTGTTTTATTTATCGATCTGTCTATCTTTATTTTGTTTTCTTTTTGTTACGTTACAGGACAGTACAAAGTTTTGAAAAAGATTTTCATCATGCAATTGATGGAGGTGGTGCAGAAATCGATACGAAAACATTATCCGGTGGTGCACTGATCAATCGTATATTTCATGAACGTCTACCGTATGAAATGAATAAGGTAAAAGTAGAACTTATTATTATTATTGTTCCCTTGGGTTCCTAGTGGAACATAGGGCTTCAACTGCACGCCTCCACTTGCTTCTGTCTTGTGCTTTACTTTTCACTTGCGTCCATGTTAATCCATACGGTTTCAGTTCCTCATCACACGATCTCCTCCATGTCACCCTTGGACGTCCCACTCGCCGCTTCCCTTTCGGTTTCCACTCGATCTATGGCCTGACGCGCGATGTCAACCAACGGCCTCCTCAGTGAGTATCCAATCCATCTCCAATTTCTCCTGCATATTTGATGAGCGATTGGTTCTTGTTTTGTTTGTTCCCACAGTTTCTTGTTGGTGATTCTTTCCGGCCATCTGATCTTGAGTAGAGAACGAAGACAGTTGTTGATAAAGGTTTGCAACCTGTTGAAAATATTCTTTGTGACCCGCCAAGTTTCTGATCCGTATAGAAGAACTGACTTGACGTTTGTATTGAAAATCCGAATTTTTTTGTTGATGCTGAGTGACAGTGGAAGATTTGCAGATTGGTTTCAGGTTGATGAATGTGTTTCTCGCCTTCTCGATTCTCGATTTGACATCGTCGTCCGTTCCTCCTGTGGTTGAGACAATGCTCCCTAGATAAGTGAAAGAAGTAACCTCTTTCAAATCCTTCCCGTTGATGGTGATTGGCACTGGATGTTGCTGCTGTTGTTGTTGTTGTTGGTAGGTTATTTTCATGACCTCCGTCTTGTCTATGTTCACCTGGAGTCTTGTCTTCTCTGGCTGCTTCTTCGACCAGTTTGTCGGTTTTCGCTTGTAAGTCTTCGATTTTGTGTGACATCAAACATAAATCATCCACGCGCGAAATCCAGGTCTTCTAGATTCTTCACGTCGGTCCAGGATATCCCTGTCTTCTCGTTTTCCACTGTCTGACGCATAATCCAGTCCACCACAATTAGGAATATCATTGGTGATAATAAGCACCCTTGTCTGACTCCTGTGTTTACTCCAAACGCTTCGCTGAGTTTTCCGTTGTGGATCACTTGACATGTGCCGTTGTCGTACAGCTGTCGAATAAGGTTGATGAATATGTGGGGTACGCCGTAGTACTCGAGTAGTTTACAAATTACTTCGCGGTCAACGCTGTCGAAGGCCTTCTTAAAGTCTATTAAGTTGAGGTAGAGGTTAGATTGCCATTCCATGCTTTGTTCGATGATAATGCGTAGAGCTGCAATTTGGTCAGAACATGATTTGCCTTTCCTGAATCCAGCTTGTTCTGGTCGGAGTTCTGTATCCAGTGCGTCCTTTATTCTCTCCAGGATGATGCGACACAGGATTTTACTTGGTATCGACAGGAGCATGATTCCTCGCCAGTTCTTGCAGAGTCCCAGGTCGCCCTTCTTTGGTAGTTTCACTAGGTAACCTTTCCTCCAGTCAGTAGGCGCCTTTCCCTCTTTCCAGATCTTTTGCAGTAATGGAGTCAGCATACCTGCTGTCATCTCTGGGTCCGCTTTCAGTGCTTCCGGGGGTATTCCATCTGGTCCAGCTGCTTTTCCAGCTTTCAGAAGCTTGATTGCCTTCATGACTTCAGTTTTCGTTGGAGGGTTGGTGTCAACTTGCAGTTGTGTATGTGCTGTTGTTGGTATTTCTGGACGGGTTGTAGGTGGTGGTCGGTTCAAGAGTCCTTTGAAGTGACCCACCCATTGTTTAATCTGTCTTTCTTCTTTGGTAATTGGGTTCCCTTGGCTGTCTTTTATAGGTTTCAACTTTAACCCATTCGTTCTAAACCTTGTAAGAACAACCCGTAGGTTATCCATGTGCTCCTCTGGGGACTTCCCATGTACAATAATGTCGTCAAGATAGATGAGACATTTTTGCGGGACTAACCTGTCAAGGTCTATTCGCATCAAGCGTTGAAAGGTGGCCGGGGCATTGCATAGTCCGAAGGGCATTGTTCGGAATTCGTAGAGACCACTCGGGAGGATAAAGGCCGTCTTCGGGCAATCGTCAGGGTGCACCTCTACCTGCCAGTAGCCTGACGCCAGATCTAACGTGGAGAACCACTGTGAGCCAGCAAGTGCGTCAAGGGTTGCATCGATACGGGGAATCGGGAAAGCGTCCCGTCTGGTTACAGCATTCAGTTTACGGTAGTCAATACACATTCGGAGGGAGCCGTCCTTCTTCTTGACTAAAACGATGGGTGACGCCCATGGGGAGGATGATGGTACGATGATCTTTTTATCCAACATATCTCGTATCAGGGCGTCCAGTTGGGGCTGGTAATGTACGGGGATCCGTCGGGGTGGTTGACGCACAGGCGGATGACTGCCTGTATTGATACGGTGCTGAACAACACCAGTGCGTCCTGGATTACCCCCATCATCGAACACATCAGCGTATTCATCAATCAATTTCAGCATTTGCCCTCGGAGGGGAGCAGGAGCAGATGGGTCAACTGAAACTTGATTTATGATGGTAGACACTGATAACTTTGACGCAGCAGACCGCGGTTGCTGAGGGCTATATACGGGTATAGTGACAGAATCAATTGTGACTCGAGAATTGGTGATATCTATAAGAGTGTGGTGTGACCTCAAGAAGTCTACTCCTAGGATGAGGTCCCATGTAATCTGGGCGAATACATCGTCTGATAGGTTGTTGAGGACGTGGACGAAGTGGTGGGCTGCTGGGGCAACGTCCAGGAAACTCTCTCCTGGTAGTTGTCGGCGGGAGAGCAGTTGTAATAGGGTATGTTGAGAACCCAGCCTCAGGTCAAAACATTGATCTAGAATCTCCCAGTTCTTTTGCATGGAGTTGGTTTTACTGAACCCAGCAGCGTGTGCACGGTGGTGCCACGTAGTGTTTCCTGCTGTGCTCTGACAGTTGCAGTGAAAATATCCTGTGTGATTGTGTCCTTCAGTTTTTGCGTATTGAACTTGCATTGTGGCCTATCCCCAGGTGTCCTCGAGGCTTTCAGCTTCACCTTGATGCTAATTTCAAGCCATATTCAGCAGTTTTTGACGTTTTAATATTTTAATACATTTTTAGCTTAGTTATATTGATAGGATCAGGTAGTGAAAATGTGTTTGATTTAATAATAATAATAATAATAATAATAATAATAATGGAATAATTTTATCCGGTATAAATAGACAGTGATATAAATGCATTTTTATACTTGTATATGTGGATAGTAGGGTTTTCTTGAAACGTCATAATAATAATAATAATAACTTTTTTCCAAACAGTACTTTTGACACAGCTTGGAAGTTTCAGCACGTAGTACAATATTGCATCTTATTTTCTCTCTCAATAGATGTAGGACATTTACATTGATATTATTGTTGAAAAGAATATGGATGGACGATTTCATCTTGAGCTGACATGAGTTAGAGACCAACTGGAAGACCTGGGAGTACTGGACAGCTGTTTCCCCCGTCCTAGTTTGGGACTCTTCATCAGCACGCACTCACCGGGGTTCGAACCCAGGGCCTCCTGATTACAAGGCAAGCTAGCTCGTACACCATTAAACAACTGGGACCTGATCCAATGGTCAGCGCATGAATTATAGCTTCTGCCAACTGATGACAGCGCGACCATTTCGCAATGTCTTCTTCGATGAGTTACTGCCTCATCTTCAACCTGCTGTACTCTACTGGTCACGGCTTCCCACAAGAATATGAATACAAGGTTAAAATTCAAGTGGAAATATTAACCATCATATAATAATAATAATAATAATAATAATGAAATAAAGAATAAATTAGTGCCGTTTGCTTAGTGTTTCTCAGTAAATTAGTAGTATCATGCCTTGCACACTTTTCTCATCACATAAAATGTGTCCCGGCCAAATAAGGTAGTGTAGAGTTTTTATACCTATGAAAACAAAACACACAGTTCAGCGAAGAGTCTCTTTTCGGGGCGGCGAATTCATTTTCTTAGCCATACAATCGCAAATATATGTATATATATAGGTTATTTTGTATGTATGTGTGCATTGAGGTTGTCAAACAAAAATACAATTGGTTAGGGTTATTTTAACTAAACAGGTGAAAATTAGTAAGTTTTGCGTGAAGTTACCTGATACAAAAACGTTCAAGGAAGTTGGGTGTTAATGAAACTATTGTAGTAACAAAGGTAGGTGATGAGTTGTCACAAACAGTTGTTAAAAAGGAGTTATGTAATAATATGAATAGTTTGATGATTGAATTGTACTCAGGATACACACATAGGAACAAAGTAGAGAATACGAAATTGCATAAGAGTTCTAAATGAATACAAGAATTATAAGCAAATAAAGAAACAGGCAAACAAAATAAATTAAGTCATCAAAAATCAACACAGTTGTTACCATAATAATAGAAGTGGTTGAGTAATTCTCGTTTTTGTATGCATAGCTCCGGTTTTTCTATGTGAATGGCCAGAGCTTCAGCAATACAAACAAGAAGAAACTGTATTTTCTTTGGTAGGTTATTCTTGACTGTGTAGATTACTTTGATGCAGGAGGTGTTTGTTAAGATGGAATGATCAGTGTTAACCATGTGTTCAATTATCGCACTCCTTTTAGCACCACTATTGCCTTTTCGCGCAACCATGTTGGATAGTGTTACCCAGCATAAATTCTGAGTATGAGGTCTGCTGTAGTTGCTTCTGCTCCTACTAGATGAGATACAAGGAGTGAGTTGTGTGTAGACAGGATGCTCAGGGTCTCCGACAAGATAATATTCGCTAATTTCTTGCATTAGTCCATGTGTCTATTTACAAACAGTATTAACAGGTTGGTTTAGCGACACCCCACTTACCCTACTGACGACTTTTAGTACCCTTCACAGTGTAAAAAAGTCTTTAATATAAATAAATAAACGCTGTATCACTGTGTGATATGTTAATTTAAATTATTCTATTATGGAAGTATATAGAGAAGTATGTAGTATACCATCAATGGTATAGAATGTTAACCAGGCACTTTGGAGGTGTCCAGGTTCGATATCTGGCTGACTGACTGACTCACACCTTAACTTCACCTGGTAGCCTGCTTAAATCACTGAACTACCTAAATTTATTTATTTATTTTATTATAGCTGGATTCCACAGAGTATTTTGGTACAAGTATGCAATTTTCAGCATATGATATCGGTAGCCCAAATTTAGCAGGCCGGTCATAGATATCAGGTGTGCATGATCGGCGAGAGTCCTAACCGCTGTGCCACCGACTCACAGTATAATGTATAAAGTCTTCCCCATCTCTTCTTACTGTTTTAATGATCCAACTGTGTTTTTGGATATCACAGTTCAAACTCGCACATAGGTTTAGTTTGCTGTAATGCTAGAGCACTTCTCAATAGAAATGAGGGAGGAAAATATCGTAGAGATTTAGATATTGCTTCATATGGAACACCACAGCGTAACACGATGTACTGCCGATTACCATTTTATTTGAAGATCCTGTACGAAGAGTGGATATTTCACGATTTCAATGCACTGAAAATTCCGTACTATGTATTAACATACTGTCTAGAATAAAGGTGTTATTATTATTATATTAGCGGATAGATAGCTAGTTAGCCAGGAAAAGAGGGGAGGTTGGGAGGGATGTATTAGACTAAAAACTTCAACCCCATAAAAAGCGACACTTTCCCTACTGTGAAACTTCAAACTACTTCAATCCGTATATTTCCCTTGAAATACAAAGGGATAAAAATAAAGAGAAATATTTGAGCCAAAGGTTTCTTATGTCATAGGATGTGTGTGTGTATGTATGCTGAGGGAAGCATTAAAAATTTACGTTCTGTGAAATTTACGACTGTGAAGCTACATCGACTGAGATGGTTAGCACATGTGTTACGTAGCCAAGCGGGATAATGTTCTTTGACTATTTTGGATAAAACATTCATTGAATGACCTCTGGTGTCTCCTCATTTGCGGATAAATCTTTCGCCTTTTACTAAAGATTTCCGGGGGGAGGCACAATACAATGAGTCTTATCTCATTTTTTTCAGCTCTGTCTTCGGACGGAGTATTTAGTGCGTCGGTGGCACAGTGGTTAGTACTCTCGCCGACCATGCACATGGTTCGGGATTCGATCCCCTGCCGACGCACACCCGATATCTATGGTCGGCCTGCAAAATTTGGGCTACCGATATCCATGCTGAAAATTCCATACTTGTACTGAAAATACGGTGTGGCATCAAGCTATATCCAGAAATATCCAGAAATATCTCGCTCCACATGAGCAAGTTAATTGGTAGATACGCATAGAAGTAGTAGTCAAATGCGATAGCTTATCTTTAGGATTGTTGAAGAACAATGGGCGGCTTGAGAATACCAATCTTAATATAGCATCAGGGAATATTCTTTTCGGGGTGTTAGATATTCTTCTCTTTAAGATGTCAGCCAGAAGGTCGCCTTTGAATGCCACATTCATGTATAGCATCTTCTTTGGCACAGAGTTGGGTTGTTCTTTGTTGATTTTGAGCTTTATATGTTTATCTATAAAGCGTGGTGTATAGCCATTTTCAAGTACTGTCTTCCTCAAAATGGTAATCTCCTCTTCTACTGATTCGGGGCTGCATATTCTACTCAACTGTAAAAGTTTATCAGCTGGCCGTTGTCCCTAGTTTTCCGACATATTGATCTCTGTAGGGTCCCATCAGTCGGACGTCCAGAAATGAGATTGTCTCTCCGGTTTCTGCATCAATCGTAAATTTGATGGCTAGGCGACAGCTATTAAAAACTTGAAGGATATTATTCAGGTCGCATGTTAGTGATTGAAAACTGCAGGTAGTTAGTTTTATTTCTCAGGCAGTAGCAGTTTATACTGTAAAAATTTCAGGAACAATTATCTCATTATGTATTGGAATATGTTACCATCCACGGTTATGCTTTTTCTCACGTTTAGTAAAAACTTGTTAATTAGCAGGTTGTAAATATTTTAAATACTCACGAGAGTAGTGAACACCAACAGAGGTCATATTTTAATTCATTAAAACAAAGGGAACAAGAGAAATTATATGCAATTTGATTATAGAGGCTTTTTGTTGGCCCAAGTCTTAAACCAGGCCGTCAGAGAAATATATATATATATATATATATATATATATATATATATATAATTTCTTTACGTACCCAGTGGAACATAGGGCTTCAAGGCAGAGCTTTGAAGTTTCGGTAGCAGTGGTGTTTTATTATTTTGTTTTACTAGGTAAGGTTGCTAGCCTCATGTCCAAGCTTCCCTCTTTACCAGTCTTATTACTACTGGCTTAGTGAGGTAAAGGAGTTGTGTCGGTGGCCGGGGATCGAACCCTGGACCACTTGCATGGTTGGCTAGCATTCTACGGCTGTGCCACTGACGCACGTCGGAGAAGTGTATTGACAGTTAATCTCTAGCAGGACTACACTATATTACACTACACTACACTATACACTAACTCAAGTAAAATCTATATTCATCAAACAGAGATAGTTTTATGCATATATTTTCTGAGGCATATCTCTTATCTCACCTTCTCTAGATTTATCGTCTCATTTTCCTTCGATCGATCGATTTAATTTTTTTTTGTGTATCATTAGCATATATTATATTTTCTAGATTAAAATATTATTGTAATATTCTGTTTCTACTGTTGTATGATGATATATTTGCGCACGTGATGAATATTTATAAAATTTTAGAGTTAGCTAGCTAAACAGAAAGAGGCAGATGCTTTTTACTAGTCTGTCTCCCATCTCATTCTCCCTTTCGCTCTGTCTCTCTCTTTCATTCTGTTTTTCTGCTTTGCTTTTTGTTCTACTTTCTGTTCGATTGAGTTTGATGCATCCTCTATTCCTCCTCTTCAACTGGTCTATAGTTAAAGTAATATTGGTTTTGTTTTGATTTTTATTTTGGTCGTTTTCAAATAACATTTATAATTGTTGTTGCTATTGTTGGATCGATAATGCGAATTGCTGAGTGGTAGAATAATCACCAACCACTTTTTATGTGGTCCGGGGTTCGACTCCCTGACGATGAACTTCTAAACCTCGCTTATTTAGTAGTAAGTTTAGTAAAGAGAGAAGGTTGTGTGTGTGTGTGTGAGGCTGTGGCAACCCTATGGCGTAGAAAAGACACCACCATTGGTACTGAAACTTCCAAAGCTCAAGCTTAAAGCTATATGTGTTCCACTCGGTATGTAAAGAAATAAAAGGAGAGAAAAAATTGAACTAGTTGAGGTCTTGTTCTCATGTGTGTATTCTAATTTTATCAGACAATGATTTTGATCACGGAGTAGTCGTATCAGTCAGAGAACCATTGAAAACTAGCAGGGAGTATTGGACAGCTGTTTCATCCTACTTTGGTACTCATCGGCAGTACGTACCCACCGCCAGTTATCGAACCCTGGACCCTACACGTACAAGTCAATATCGTAGATCATCCAACCAGCCACTGGAATCCAACTCAATGACCAGCCCATTAATTCTAACTTCCACCAATTCATGATTGTAACGTGGACCGCCAGCGGGAAATCCACCCTCACTCCCGACTGGATGGACCTCACTGGTTACAACTTCTCACTAGGACTCTAGTCAACATCATCCTGGAGGTAGTCACTAGGGAATCGGTTGAAGTTAAAATTCATGACCCATTGCATTGGATCCCAGTGGCTGGCTGGATTATCTACGAGCTTTTGCCTTGTAACCAAAAGTTCCTGGTTTCGAACCCCGGATAGGTTTGTACTACCCGTGAGTAGTACCAAACTAGGACGAAACAACCGTGTTCAGTACTCCCTTCTGGTTTCCTAGTGGTTCTCTAACTGATATCAATCTGTGATCGAAATCTTGCGATAAATTATATCCCCACAAATTAACTCTCGGAGATTGATATCATTATGTTTGGTAATATTTCTTCATTTTTCGGTCTTAACTTTTCTGATTTACCTTATCAAGCTTTGATAGTTTCCATCTATCTTTTTTTTTCTAAAGCAATATTTAGTTTTTAATTGGAAATATTAGTGAATACAGTTTAAGTATATGTGTTATCATCATCAATGGGAGAGATTTAACAGAGGTTACCTCCTCCACTTATCTGGCTAGGAAGCATCGTCTCAACTACAGGCAGTCAGGACGGATGAAGATGTCAAAATCAGCCAGAACTGGAAAGGCAAGATACACCTTTATGAACCTGAAACCAGTTTGGAAGTAGTCTTCTGCACTCAGCCAGCATAAGGAATAAGATTCGGATTCTATTCAACACAAATGTGAAATGTTCAGAAACTTGCAATGCGTATCACGAAAAGGATTTCCAGCAAGTTACAGACTTTTATCAACAGCTGCCCACTTCGCTGGCTGGCCCCATACTTATTAAGATCAAATAGCCAGAAGAAACTCTGCAGTGGAACAAAACAACCAAGAGCCCATCGTTCAACAAATATGTAGGAGAAAATGGAGATGGATTGGTCAGGTATACGTTAAGGAGGCCGTCGAATGACATTGCGCTAATTGCAGGCCATTACTCGAGTGGAATCCGAATGGGAAGCGACCAGTGTGTCGTGAGTGCGGGGTTGGCATGGAGGAGATGAGAGATTATGGGTAATCATGGAGCTAGCCAGCTGAAGAGGACGGCAGAAAGTAGAAGAAAGAGATGTGTTGTTGAAGCCCTATGTTCCACTCGGAACACAAGGGAATAATAATAATAATATATGTGTTATCTTCCCTCCTCTGATGATAAGTTGGCTGTTTTTCTTTCCTCTCTTTCATATCGATTTAATTATTTTTTTCTTAACTAGATTGAAACTGATGAAGAAGAATTACGCAAAGATATCAGTTATGCAATTCGTAATATACACGGTATTAGGTAAGTTTTAGGAACTAGTTAATACTTTTTTTCTTATTCATGGATTGATGAATACTTGTTATGTGATAAGAGTTCTACTACTCTATACATGCTTCAAAGACATATTTCAACGTTGGTTGGTTCAGCTGCTGTTGTTGTTCTCAGTGAAATCTTTACAGTAATTGGTTTTTATTGGGGATATTCTTTAGTTGCATGGAGGATTTCATCATGAGCTGATATCAGTTAGAGAACCATTGAAAAACCAGCTGGGAGTACTGGACAGCTGCTTCCTCCGTCCTAGTTTGGGACTCTTCAGTAGTATGCACCCACCGATAGGGTTTGAACCCAGGACCTTCTGGTTACAAGGCGTGCTCGTAGACCATTGAGCCACTGGGACCCGATCCAATGGCCAGTCCATGAATTCCAACTTCTGCCAATTTACGACATAGCGCTACCACTTCGCAATATCTTCTTCGATGAGTTACTGCCTCGTCTTCAACCTGTTGTACCCTGCTGGTGACGGCTTCCCACTAGAACCCCAGTTTAACTGCCTGCCATTCGCTAGTGAGCTTCAGATTAATTAATTTTCAAGTATTAGTTTTGTAGGAATTTTGTTCAATTGGTTGGAGGATTTCATCATGAGCTGACATCAGTTTTCTTTAGTGTTATACGTCTGCCTTCTTAAATTTGATTATATTTTTCTTTATTCACAAAAGAGTCATACTTTTTTCCACCGTCGCTATAGAATATAAGTTTAGGACATGTATCAATCTACAGATTTAGACACTTCATATACTCATATTGATGAACATGTTCAGGTAAATCATTTAGTCCAAGTACTGATACACAGGGTGTGCTCATATTCTTGATGGCTCAGAAAAGAATGAATTCCATGAACTGGTTATTAATAGTGGTCATTGACAATGTTGGTCCCAAAAGGTTGGGAGATGGGTATTCTTAAGTATTGGTTTTGTAGGGATTTTGTTCGATTGGTTACAGGATTTCATCATGAGCTTTCATCAGTTAGAGAACCATTGGAAAACCTGAGAGTACTGGATAGCTGTTCCGCCCTAGTTTGGGACACTTTAGCAGTATGCACCCATCGACAGCGTTCGAACCCAGGACCTTTTGGTTACAAGGCGAGCTAGCTCGTAGACCATTAAGCCACTGGGACCCGATGGTTCTCTAACTGATGTCAGCTCATGATGAAATCCTTCAACCAATCAAAAACAAAATCCCTACAAAAACCAATACTTGAAAATTGATCTGATACTCACCAGCGACTGGCCCTATTCAGGCAGTTACCTGGGGTTCTAGTTGGAAGCCGTGACCAATAGGATACAGCAGGTTGAAGATGAGCATTCGTCTATACGTTTTCGGTAAACTATCGATAAAGGGTAAACGTGCCTTCTGAGTCTCAGATCACTAGAGTTTGCAATGTCAGTCAACCTTTTCGTCAACAGGTGTTCCTTAGTTGACTTACCACGCTTGTTACTCTGTCGTCAGATTCATCTCTTTCTCTGATTTGTCAAGTATAAACTTAGATGAGTCATTTAATACCATAGGCGCATCTTATCTATTGAATTTATTTTGTTCATAATAATAACAACAACTCCAGCTCGTTTATCAGGTCTCATAATAACTGTATCCTATGTCTTCCTTCAGAGACTGAAGTGACTCTCCTAATAGGGGATGTTGGATTACATTCTCTAGGGAATGAGATACTTTTGCTCCCTTTCTTCACGTACTGACATCAGCTACAGAACCAGTGTTAAAATTCCTGTACCCGGAACATATTTCTGATTTACCGGGTTATAAGCCGCACTTATTGTGTGAAGGATGATGCTGCTATCTAGTCACCTAGACTGAAATATATGACTGTAAGTCGAATGCTTAAGCCGATGGAGCTACATCTCCATAAAGGACCAGTGTGTAGAAATTAATTTAACAATGTTATGTTTCTTCTTTCTGTTCTGCCAGTATTTCTAATCCAGATCTCCCCATTCGTTGTTTTGCTGTAACTATTGTTTCCAATGTAGATTTTGTTACGAACATGATGTCGATCAAAATTTAGGAGCACCAGACAGCTGTTTCGTCTTAGTTTGAGGCTGTTCTACTAGGGATTGACCACAGCAGCTTTGAGACCATCTGAAGAGTCTCTGACTCGGACAAAACAACTGTCCAGTGCTCCTTAGTTTTTGCCTTATCCTCTAAACTGATATCAGTTCTTGATAAAATCTACACTTAAATCAATCAAAGCTCCTTCCCCTTGTTATTATAATTCCCTTGGATTCTGAGTGGAACAGGGGGGTTCAACAGTTCATCTCCATTTTGCCCTGTTCTCTGCAGTCTTCGATAGGTGTAGCTTCACGTTTGTCTATAAGCTTTCATCTCCTGCTCACACGATCCCCTCTGTTTCACCCTCAAAATGATGCCCGACTCGTCGTTTCTCATTCGGGTTCCACTCGAGTGATTGTTCACCTGTCGCACGATGTCACCCAGCGGTCTCTTCAGTGTATGTCCGACCGATTTCCATTTTCTTTAGAATGTTGATAGAACAATAGGTTTTTGATTGGTTCGTCAGTTTCCAGAGTTTCTTGTCGCTAATCTTTTCTAGCCGGCCATCTGATCTTCAGTGTGTGTAGCCATCAGAAGCAGCTGTTGAGAAGTGTACAACAGGCTGTTGGAAATTCTCTTCGTGAAGTGCCAAGTCTCTGAATCATATAAAGAAACTGACTGACTGACTTAACATTGGTGTTGAAAATCGGATTTTCGTTCTTTATTTTGAGTTAGTGCAGAAGATTTCCAAAATTGATTTCAGAATGATGAAGGTCTGCCTTGTCTTTCTGATTCTTCTTTCGATATCCTCATGTGTACCGCCTGTAGCTGAAACGATACTGCCCCCCAGGCGAGGTAAGTGAAGGAAGTGACCTGTTTCAAATTTCTGCCGTTGATAGTAATATAAAACTCAAAATTTAATTAACTTTCTATTCTCATTAGAACTGGATTATTCACTCCTGATTTGGCTTTTGAAACAATAACGAGGAAACAAATTGAAAAAATGAAGATACCATCATTAAAGTGTGCTGATTTAGTTGTTGCTCAATTAACAGAAATCGTCCATGCATGCACTGCACGTGTAAGTAGTCGATTTCTTTATTACTCCCCTTTTCCTATCGTTCTTTGTTTTGTTTTGTAAATTGTTTCATTACAACCTGAAGTTATCATTGTCAGTTTCAGCGTGGATCTCGTCACAAAGCACCATCAGTTGGTGATCGATTGGAAATCGGGCAGCATTGGACGATTGCTTTGTCCTAGTTCGAAACTCGCCAGCAGTGATCGTACCGGGAACCTTCAGGTTACTAGATCAAACCTGTTGACCAATTGGCTGAAGAGTCTCAATCTGGGACGAAGCTCATGTTCAATGCTCACTGGTTTTTAATGATCTCTGTAACTGATTTTGGTTCGTGATGAAATCTACATTGAGACAATTCAGATCCTTACTAAAAATTCATTGTCTAAATAATTACCTGTGATCGCTTATTTATTCGTTAATAAATTTAAATAGTTTAGAGGGAAAGATCTCATTGATATATGATATATATTCGTCTTCTATTATTGTTGATTATTGCTCATAAGCAGTTTGTTATACTTTTTAGCCTGCAAGCAGAAAAATAATATCCTTATATGTCAGTGTGTAGTTGTAGTATCCCTCAGTTGGATGACTTATTTGCGCGAGGCCTTTATTGTCTTTCTAGACAACCTGTTCAGCACAGACTCCAATATGGAATCAGCCTTTTTTTGGATTTCTCTGTGAAGTAGTATATAACTGTTCTCTCCTGATGATTTATGCTGTGATTGGTTATTAGTTTGTATCAGTAATTGACGTTTTCTTGTCATGTTAGTTAATACACGTCCGTTGATTACAGATTCTTGAAATTCTCTGGTATTCCTTTTGGGCGTTTCCTTTTTTTCGAATTCGTGTCCATAGTTGTCAGCATTGATTGGTATGAGGGAATGTCTTTTGCTTTCCAGTTTTTTGTTTGTGGGTACGAAGACGAATGAGGGCATCTATAATTTGACCAATATAATATTTTTCATAGTTGTCACAATTTAATGTGTGGATGGTGTTGGTCCTGTCTTCTTCTTTGCTGTTGCGTATTTTGGTTGACATAGTATACATTATTATTGTTATTATTATTATTAAGAGGCAAACTTAGTACATTATGGGCACCAAGAAATGCGCCACACAAATTCTCCTAGTTTGTGCGAAGACTTGGATACTTCACGAACGCTCAGACCGATGCAGGTGGTTGTCTTAAGGGATCACACCCCAAGGCATAGTTACTGGTGACCAGAACAGGTTCTTATGCCTTTCAACCCATGTACATTATAGGTTTGGAATGAGGGTTTTCCAGCTCCCCTAGGTGGTAGACCAGCATGTCTATCTGTCCGGCTGTTAGCGTCCTACTTTCACATTCACCCCTTCACTTTTGTGAGGAACATCCCTGTCGCGTGAATAGGATAGGTCTTACCTAGCCAGTCCAAATGAGATCATTTCAATTGGAAGACCGAATTCTACTCACTCTCCTCTAGAGAAGGGTATTTTTGGAGGCGCATAGTATACGGGTTGAAGTGATTTTGTTGTTTTGTGAGTGACACCTATTCCAAAAGGTCGTAACAATCTTGCAGTAATTTCAGCAACATTCTTCATATGTGGTAGGAAGACTAAAACGGATAAGCAGTAAAAACTGTACACTGTTTAGAAATGCTTCGAACAAAGATAATATTAATACGAAAGAGGATTATTAATATATATTGTTGTACTTGAGGAAGGAGTGCGTCGGTGGCACATCGGTTAGGACGCTCGCCGATCGTGCACATGGTCTGGGGTTCGATTCCCGGCCGACGCACTCCTTTACCTCGCTAAGCCAGAAATAAAGCTGGTAAAGAGGAAAGGTTGGGCATAAGGCTAGCAACCCCATCCTGTAAAAATAAACACTGCTACAGAAACTTCAAGCCTCTAGCTTGAAGCCCTATGTTCCATTGGGAACGTAAAGGAATAAAAAAAACTTGAGGAAGGAAGGGCAATAAAATTTTGAGTGCAATTGTGAAGCCGCCTTAGTTATTGATTTTCAAAATATCTTGTACCCCGTTGAGATAACCTAAACTTTCGTAAGTCTTAGGTTAATAGACTGTGTGATATCTTTTACTCTTGGCTTCTCTGTGAGATAGACAGTGTCTCAATACAAACACAATATTTTTTCTGAATAAAGCAAGAACAACAGTGGGGTTTGTGCAGAATAATATGGTACCATCATTGTTTATTTCGTTGGCTTCTCATCAGCTCAGCTGCTTACAGCCTAAATAAATTTATATTATTAACTTCATGTACAGAAAAGTTTTAACATACTTACATGATGTCAGTTGACAGGAGGTTCTGGAATTAGTGAACAGTGCTCAGAAAATTACGCTTATATAGTTTTTGCACAGGCAGTTCAAGTTTAAACAAAGTAAATGTATGCATGCAATGGTAAAAGAGTTACGTAATAAAGACGAGAGATGCGTAAGATGATGAGTGATAAATAAATTCGGTGACAATGTACTGAGTTCAACTCAAATCATAGAAACCAGAGACAAGCAAAGTCACATTATATCAACGGGGTGAGGTTAAAGCCAAAGATTATACAATCGAATGAAAGAGAGAGAGAGTGAAGACATCCAGTTACCAGGATGGGCAAGGAAAGACTGATAGCTGCTTCTTTCTGCACACATAAATCGGGTTTCAGGCATTTGATAGAGATTGCTTCGGCCAACTTGAGGAGAACTGAAGTCTTTTGCCTATTGATAATTTTAAAGGATTTTGCGATTTCCACCTCATGACCGGTATCTAAACATCTCATCCAATGATGCTTTGCTTTCCTTGTCCATTTATCAGTTTCGCTGACAGTCAGGTATTTTTCTTCGCATCCACAGACTAACTAATTAGGTTGACAGATGAGAAATTCATTCACAGTATGGTATCTGGTATTATTCTCTAGCCGAATTGCTTTTGTCTAATCAAGATAAAAGTCTTCAGAGGGGAAAATGAAGAGTGGAAATAGTGTCAGTGTAACGAAAAGGGAGCTGAACAAAATGCCGTTAACTTGTATCATGGCATGTATGTTATTGCAGACAGACAAAACTTTTCTGTATGTGTGTGCATCATAAAATATCAAAGTTCTGGGGTCACTGTATTTGATCTTTTTCAAGACTTGTTAATGCTGCTTGCATTTGTATTATTTATTTTAGTCCTTTGCGTTCCCAATGGGTCCATAGGGCTTCAAGCTTGAGATTTAAAGTTTCAGTAGCAGTGGTGTTTGTTCTTTTTACGGTGGTGAGGTTGCTAACCTCATGCCTAACCTTCCCTCTTTACTGGGCTTACTGCCGACAGCTGAGAGAGGTTAAGTTGTTTGTCGATCAGGGATCGACCCCCGGGTCATGTGTGGCGTGATTGGCGAGTATTCAACCAGTGAACCATCGACGCATATTGATGTTTGTACTTCTCTGAAGTTGATGCCATTAACTGAGAATGATTTCTAATGCTATTTGTTATACCATTCTTTTATTGATTTCTTTTATAGATGGAGAATTTTCCACGTTTAAGAGAAGAAACAGAACGTATTGTAAACCAGTGGATAAGAGAAAGAGAAGTTCGTGCTAAAGATCAAATTGTACTCCTAGTTGATATACAATTATCATATATGAATACAAATCATGAAGATTTTATTGGTTTTGAAAGGTAAACACTTACTATCATTATGCTCACTTATACTTAATGGAAGACACTTGAAGTCTTTTCAATATTATACTTTTAAATATTATTGGTTATAAATTCTTTATCTGGTGGATGTCGTGGTCTGGAGGCTCCACGATAGATCAGAGGTTTGAAGGAGATGCTTGCTAATCGATGATATCGGTTAGTGGTAGCGTCATATCACTAGTTGAAAAAGAGCCAGTATTTATTGGCTATTGAATTCCAACCCAGTGGCTAAATAGTCAACAGGCTTGCTGCGTAACCCTAAAGGTCCTGGGTTCGATTCCTGGGGGTTAGTGCTCACTGCTAAAGATGAAACAGTCATCCAGTGCTCTTCGGTTTTCAATGCTTTTTTATAATTACTATCAGCTCCTGACGAAACCTACATTACAAAACTCCAAAATCTCTGTATTAATTCTTTATTTATTTATGTATGTATTCTGTTGGGGGTTTTGCCCATTGTACTGGAAATAATATAGCTTCCCTTTAATGGGTTGGGTGGGGGTGGGGTGGATGTTTATCTCGATTTTACTTGTGTGACTTTGTGATAGCTTTCTTTCTTACTGCGTTGTATGTTAATGAGTATGTGGCTTACAACAGTATTCGTGATTACGTAATTAAAGATGGTAGCATTAAAGAATCTTACTCTGATGATATTTCAACATAAGGGAATCGAGTATTTGGGAAGCATATCTTCTGTCTCTTATACGAAACAGTAGGCTAGTGTGTCATTTGTCAATTTACGCCGTCTCTGGCCTAGACATGATATCCGGATATCGATCAAAGGACGTATGTACTGTGCAACAGTCCTCTTCGTCCTCCTTTATAGCAGTGGTAGACATGAAAAAGTTAGCTTTCTTTGATCACAGGTGCCTGCGTTCTATCTCCCGTATTCATCACTGGTGAGTAATATTAACGTAAGGTGTAGAGTGTTAGGTAAGGAGGGAAAGCCAGTTGACAAGGTTGTGAAGCTACACCAACTCAGATGCCTAGGACATTTGTTACGCATGTCTAACCATCGATCGCCTTACTCGATGGGCAATGTTGGCTGACATAGGATCGATCATGTTGGTAAAGATCTAGTGGTGGTCAAATCAAAACATGGCCTCATCAGTCTATGTAAACCTAAACAGTTAGTTTAAGCCAGCCACGTAGGGAGGTGTAGACTTCCTGACTGGCAGGTTGGGGTCCTTGGGATGCTAGGAACCAATGACTGGATCCAATTGATGATTTAGCTCAAAATCGTGCTCAGTGGCTCAGATGCATTCACTCTCTTAGGATCTCCTATATCCACTAAATCCTCATGTTTTTCCATATTACTATTTTTTCTCCCCCACATTTTCGCGTATTATCTCTTAAATATTTTTTTGTTTTTTGTCTTCCTTTGTGTGGTACATGGAATGTGGCAACTTGAACTGATGCGCTTCTGTGCAAAACTGTATGTTGGTGGAACCAGTCAATCAGTTATATCTTTTGTGGTTAATGTTTGTCTCTAGAAGCAAATAGCATTCGAGAATAGTGTTCAGTGAGAAATATCAACGTAGGCGTCTTAGTGTGTATCTATTTTCCTTTGTAATCATGGTGGGTGAGGATAAAAGTAATCGCAAGGTGTTTTTTTCGCGCATAGTATAACAAACACCACAACAGATATTCCAGTTGTGTGTAAAAAGGTCGACCAGACACCTTTTTTGAAATAGCCAAATGTAACATCTGATATGATGATTACAACATTCCTCTCTAAGCACATAATAATAATATCATCACACATGACCAACTACCTAAAGAAATTCAAATCGTCATTGACCACCTCTGCTGTATCTATTCAGGCAGGCGGAAACCTAAAAGGAGGTAAATTCGTCTTGGCGACAACTTATATTTGTATTCCTAGACACATACCTTTGAGTTGGAGAGAGGAATGGGCTCAATGAAGCAGTCGGTTTATAGAAAGTCTACTTGGATGGGTCAGTGTTTAAATTTTCACAGTTTCTGATAAGGGCTTGATCAAGTGTTTATTCAATAGGATTTAGCGTATTTGTGCAGCTGGTGTTACAAATGACTAAAATAAAATATTGATGGATATTCTTGTCGGAAACGAATATCCTTTAAAAATTTTAAACCTGTGTACAAGTAAATTAGTTTCAAAGCCTAGAGTTTGTTCCGTCCCAAAAGAAGGATGTCTGCATCAAATTACCTTTCAATATGGGAAATATATAGTAGGATATATTCAAAATGTTCATTCAGACATCTATAAAAAACAAAATAATCGAGCAAAGAATATTCTTTTCGATAAATTCCTCTTCCAGGCTCTACAATTATATATATGTTTTTATACACAGAATATTTTAAATTATTAGTAGGATATTAGACAGAGATTCAATTTGGTCATCCGTGGAGCATAACTGCTATGCAGTGGGATTTATGATTATGGAAAAAGGTCGAAAAACACGCTTTATCACAAGCCCCAACATTGCACAAGTGATTATGTGACATCCCATACTATACACCAATTTACTTGTGTATGTGGTCATACATACATGGGGAGGAGTAATCACGTTTCGGACGTCAGCGTGGGATAACATATATACTGCGTTGGTTAGAAACACAAATGACCTATGGAATCTCGAAAAACGTAGGTGTCAGACTATCAACGTCGTCTATGGCGAATCATTTAATTTTCAAAAGAATGGTTACTGAACAAAGAATACTCCTTTCGATAACCTTTCCTTCATCATCAGGCTCTACAGTTATATATACATAACAGTGAATAAATTAGTGTTATGAACAACACTAATGTTTAAATAACATCGAATCAATAATAACATCAATGGATTACAGTTCAATAGCATCAACATAACACTACATACTGAATATCAGAGAAATTAGGAAAGATAATAATACAAATTCATGAATTTATAGTCTCTACTGAAGGCTGGCCAGGGCAGTAGTAATGGCTGGACTTGCTTCTTTTGCACACAAAGCACTGGTTGTTTCACGCGATAGTCTGTGCTGTTTGGAGCATGCAGTGCCTCGATGTTTTTGGTAATTTATTTGGTACCCGGTAGATGATAGAGAAGGATTCTTCAATGAGCTGGCTTTGTGGCGGGCATGGACTAGATGGTCTAATATCGAACTATTGATGGTTTTTACTACACCTTTATTTAGCCAAACTGGGGGAGATGTTCTCGAGCAGTAGAGACTATAAATTCATGAATTCTGTGTTATTATCTTTCCTAATTTCTCTGACATTCAGTGTATTCTTATGTTGATGCTATCGAACTGTAATCCATTGATATTATTTTTTATTATTATTGACTCGATGTTATTAGATGGTTAGAGGCAATTGGCAGGAAGCCTTGGACCTAGGTTTCGTGCTAGTTGGTACTCACCAGTCAGTCAGCAAGGCGTATCTGCAACCTTGAAGGAACCGATGTCCCTTCTGAGATTCGAACCCGCGTCACCCAGTGCTGCAGTCAGAGACGTTACCACTGAGCTATTCGGGCTCGCGACTGACCTCCTGTAGGACTGTAATGGATATTTTGATTTGACACTAGTAACTAGTGTGATGTATCCTGAACCGAAGTGAAGAACCTAGAAGACCTGGATTTCGCAGATGATTTATGTTCGATGTCACACAAAATCGAAGACTTACAAGCAAAAACCGACAAACTGGTCGAAGAAGCAGCAAAGACAGGACTCCAGGTGAACATAGACAAGACGGAGGTCATGAAAATAACCAACCAAGAACAGCAGCAACATCCAATGCCAATCACCATCAACGGGAGGGATTTGAAAGAGGTTACTTCATTTACTTATCTAGGGAGCATTGTCTCAACCACAGGAGGAACGGACGAGGATGTTAAATCGCGAATCGGGAAGGCGAGAAACACATTCATCAACCTGAAACCAATCTGGAAATCTTCGTCACTCAGCATCAACAACAAAATTCGGATTTTCAATACAAACGTGAAGTCAATTTTACTTTACGGATCAGAAACTTGGCGGGTCACCAAGAATATTTTCAAAAGGTTGCAGACCTTTATCAACAACTGTCTTCGCTCCATACTGAAGATTAGATGGCCGGAAAGAATCACAAACAAGAAGCTATGGGAACAAACGAAACAGGAACCAATCGCCCAACAGGTATGCAGGAGGAAGTGGAGATGGATTGGACACTCGCTGAGGAGGCCGTTGAGTGACATCGCGCGTCAGGCCCTCGAGTGGAACCTGAAAGGGAAGCGACGAGTGGGACGTCCAAGGGTGACATGGAGGAGATCGTGTGAGGAGGAGATGAAACAGTATGGACTAACATGGACGCAAGTGAAAAGTACAGCAGAAGACAGAAGCAAGTGGAGACGTGCAGTTGAAGCCCTATGTTCCACTAGGAACCCAAGGGAACAATAATAATAATAAACTAGTGTGATGAGTCTAGTCTTCGCTTTTGGTGCAGACTGAATTCTATCAATCAGGTTGTAATGTGGCCACCATTCTTGGTAGCTCGCCATCACGGTGTACATTGTTTGTGATGATATGAGATGGTTGGAGGCAATCGGCAGGAAGCCTTGGAACTTAGGAGGTCCTTGTTGTTGTTAATGGCACTAATTCACTCACTATTATGTACATATAACTGTGGGACCTGATGGAGGAGAGGCTATTGAAAAGAATATTCTTTGTTCAGTAACTATTCTTTTTAAAAATCTTGAATGGGCATTTTTAATCAGTTAAAATATTTAATTGATATGAATTATAAGACTGACATCAAAACAGCTTTCAAGATTATCTACAGAAAAAAAACCCAGTCAGTACCGCCTACTGAAATACTCTAAGACAGTAGCTGTCTGTAAAATGAACCTTCCGCCCTAACCTGTGTGTACTAAAACAATTTATCATTTACCCTTGACCTACCGTGGTAATTCTTGTCTGATTATATATATATATATATATATATATATTACTGAAAGTGGTGTTCATTATCGCATGTGTTGTTT